GTTAGGTAGGGTAGGTTAGGCTAGGGTAGGTTAGGTTAGGTTAGGGTAGGTTAGGTTAGGTTAGGCTAGGGTAGGTTAGGTTAGGCTAGGGTAGGTTAGGTTAGGGTAGGTTACATCAAGATTTTTTTTAATAATTATGTACAAGAGTAATGATAAGTGTTGATACGTGCTAAATTATACATACTGTTTGTAGTTAAGTGCAAATGTCGTTATATAGATCAATCTTTATATTTATACGTCAAAGAATTAAGCGCAGTTACGTATATGCTAAACTATATTCTAATTTTGTCCAGTAGCTTAACCTAACCTAACCTGTACAGATCTGGGTAAGGACTTGTTCAAATGCCCTGTTTGTTGACACACTGAGATAAGCTGTTGACATGGCTGACGTCTGTGTTTACTCAGCATTTTGTACAAGGCAATAGAATTTATTTCAATTAATATATACAGTGAAACGTCTATTTAACGGACTATATGTGAGAGGTTAATCCGTTATGTCGAAGTCCGTTATATATAAAACCTCCTTATACCGGATTATATGAAAGAAGGTAGTCCGTTATATGAAGGTTTTCACTGTATGCAAATGTACTGAAATTCTATAGAAGTTATTGACACATATGAACTAGGCAGCTGAGTGACATTACAACACGTCAGCACTATTTTATAAGACACTATTTGGGGATATTGACGATAGATGGCGCGCGATACAGTATTGGGGTCATGACGTCATATCCAAGGAAGGAATAATTCAAACATTCTGGTCTGCCAAATCCTCTCGTCTCCTCCTCCTCCTCCTTGACCTGTGGGTAATACAAGGACTAAGTTTCGCTTTTGAATCCGTTCAGCACACCGATGTATAGAGTCGGAAAGGGGAAAATAATTGACTAACCTAACCTATCCTAACCTATCCAAACCTATCCTAACCTAACCTAACCTACCCTAACCTATCCTAACCTATCCTAACCTAACCTAACATAATTTAACTTAACCTAACATTTTTGCTCTTATTTTGTCCTACTTTGCACTTTAACCGAGGGAGTTTTGTCCGGGGGTTTTTGTACCGGTGGGGGGGGGGCTTTTGTCCGGACCCCGCTGTTGACATCGACTAACCAGGATTAAAAAGGACAACTTTCTCTCCCAATGTGTAACTCTCACCCTTAATGTGCAACTCTCACCCTTAATGTGCAACTCTCACCCTTAATGTGCAACTCTCACCCTTAATGTGTAGTTCTCACCCTTAATGTGCAACTCTCACTCTTAATATGTAACTCTCACTCTTAATATGGAACTCTCACCCTTAATGTGTAACTCTCACTCTTAATATGTAACTCTCACTCTTAATATGTAACTCTCACCCTTAATGTGTAACTCTCACTCTTAATATGTAACTCTCACCCTTAATGTGCAACTCTCACCCTTAATGTGTAGCTCTCACCCTTAATGTGCAACTCTCACTCTTAATATGTAACTCTCACTCTTAATATGGAACTCCCACCCTTAAACTGTAACTCTCACCCTTAATGTGTAACTCTCACTCTTAATATGTAACTGTCACTCTTAATATGTAACTCTCACCCTTAATGTGTAACTCTCACTCTTAATGTGTAACTCTCACCCTTAATGTGTAACTCTCACCCTTAATGTGCAACTCTCACTCTTAATATGTAACTCACTCTTAATATGGAACTCCCACCCTTAAACTGTAACTCTCACCCTTAATGTGTAACTCTCACCCTTAATGTGTAACTCTCACCCTTAATGTGTAACTCTCACCCCTAATGTGTAACTCTCAACCTTAATGTGTAACTCTCACTCTTAATATGTAACTCTCACTCTTAATATGTAACTCTCACCCTTAATGTGTAACTATCACTCTTAATATGTAACTCTCACCCTTAATGTGTAACTCTCACTCTTAATATGTAACTCTCACCCTTAATGTGTAACTCTCACTCTTAATATGTAACTCTCACCCTTAATATGTAACTCTCACCCTTAATGTGTAACTCTCACTCTTAATATGTAACTCTCACCCTTAATGTGTTACTCTCACTCTTATTATGTAACTCTCACCCTTAATATGGAACTCTCACCCTTAATGTGCAGCTCTCACTCTTAATATGTAACTGTCACTCTTAATATGTAACTCTCACTCAATATGGAACTCTCACCCTTAATGTGTAACTCTCACTCTTAATATGTAACTCTCACTCAATATGGAACTCTCACCCTTAATGTGTAACTCTCACCCTTAATATGTAACTCTCACTCTTAATATGTAACTCTCTCCCTTAATATGTAACTCTCACTCTTAATATGTAACTCTCTCCCTTAATATGTAACTCTCTCCCTTAATATGTAACTCTTTCCCTTAATATGTAACTCTTTCCCTTAATATGTAACTCTCTCCCTTAATATGTAACTCTCACCCTTAATATGTAACTCTCACCCTTAATATGTAACTCTCTCCCTTAATATGCAACTCTCACCCTTAATATGTAACTCTCTCCCTTAATATGTAACTCTCTCCCTTAATGTGTAACTCTCACTCTTAATATGTAACTCTCACTCTTAATATGTAACTCTCTCCCTTAATGTGTAACTCTCACCCTTAATATGTAACTCTCACCCTTAATATGTAACTCTCTCCCTTAATATGTAACTCTCTCCCTTAATATGTAACTCTCACTCTTGATATGTAACTCTCTCCCTTAATGTGTAACTCTCACCCTTAATATGTAACTCTCTCCCTTAATATGTAACTCTCACTCTTAATATGTAACTCTCACTCTTAATATGTAACTCTCTCCTTAATATACAACTCTCTCCCTTAATGTGTAACTCACATAATTGTTAATAATGTAACTCTCTCCCTTAATATGTAACTCTCTCCCTTAATATGTAACTCTCACTCTTAATATGTAACTCTCTTAATATGTAACTCTCTTAATATGTAACTCTCTCCCTTAATATGTAACTCTCACTTAATATGTAACTCTCTCCCTTAATATGTAACTCTCACTCTTAATATGTAACTCTCACTCTTAATATGTAACTCTCACCCTTAATATGTAACTCTCTCCCTTAATGTGTAACTCTCACTCTTAATATGTAACTCTCACCCTTAATATGTAACTCTCTCCCTTAATATGTAACTCTCTCCCTTAATATGTAACTCTCACTCTTAATATGTAACTCTCACCCTTAATATGTAACTCTCTCCCTTAATATGTAACTCTCTCCCTTAATATGTAACTCTCTCCCTTAATATGTAACTCTCACCCTTAATATGTAACTCTCTCCCTTAATATGTAACTCTCACCCTTAATATGTAACTCTCTCCCTTAATATGTAACTCTCACCCTTAATATCTCACCCTTAATATGTAACTCTCTCCCTTAATATGTAACTCTCTCCCTTAATATGTAACTCTCACCCTTAATATGTAACTCTCTCCCTTAATATGTAACTCTCTCCCTTAATATGTAACTCTCACCCTTAATATGTAACTCTCTCCCTTAATATGTAACTCTCACCCTTAATATGTAACTCTCTCCCTTAATATGTAACTCTCACCCTTAATATGTAACTCTCTCCCTTAATATGTAACTCTCACCCTTAATGTGTAACTCTCACCCTTAATATGTAACTCTCTCCCTTTATATGTAACTCTCTCCCTTAATATGTAACTCTCACCCTTAATATGTAACTCTCTCCCTTTATATGTAACTCTCTCCCTTAATATGTAACTCTCACCCTTAATATGTAACTCTCTCCCTTAATATGTAACTCTCACCCTTAATATGTAAGAAAGAAAGAAAGACGAGAGAGAAATGTTTAGGGTATTATTACTTGTGTGAAAGAAGAGAAAAAAACACTCACATCTCCCCCCACCTTCTCTCCCTCCCTCATTCCTTCCCTCCTTCTCCCCCTCCCTTACCGTACACATCACTAAGCTCCCTCCCTCCCTCATAACCAACACACCGCCTCGGCTGCTAATGACTGGACGTAATCTCTATAATACTGTAAGAACCGATTAACAGACAGACAGACAGACAGACAGAATAATACCATAACATCTCTTCAATTTTAGGGGCGATACAAATGCTGACGAAGCAAAGAAACACATATACAAAAATATTTAAAAACTGAATATATGATTTGAATTTGATTATATGTAACCTAAATTATATTAAAATTCACAAACTTTTATTATAGTTGATGTTTTAGGGAGTGCAGGGAGGCGACCCACTCAAACCCTCTTCTCATGGGTATTCTTTTTCTCTCCTGTTGAATGGGCTCGTTATCAACACCTGTTTTAACCCTTATCACTACCAGCTGACAGTCTGTGGCACGTACAGTTCCTCCCACGTTTATCTGTTTGTGTTTATTGTCTTGGGACGTCTGGACTAACTGGGTCTGACTGAGTGGGTCTGACTGACTGATTCCACATACTGTACAATATTGTTTCATGTAGAAGGAGAATAGTTCGTTGTGGCTGTATACAAATGGCCTGAGTGTCGACATTTTTTTCCAGTTTCTCCTTTGTACAATTACGGTGTTGTGTTATTACCGGTACATTGGTGTTATTTACTGTCAGGGTGGAAAGACTGCTGACAAGAACACCATATGTTGTGTTTTGCCGGCCGGCTCTGCTACTCTGGTGTAGGAGCCAATCAGCACCGGCGAAGTTTTCTTGTAGCCAATCGTATTACGGGTTTCTCTGACCACGCCTACAAGAACCTGAAAATATCAAAAGACGAAATTTGTAATTATATTTTTGTTATATTTCTAATTGACCAGATGATAATTTTCTTTATAATATCACATATAAAATCAGATCTAACTATTTTCAGCTGAATATGTTAGCCAAAACGCGAAAAGGCAAACAAATAAATAATAAAACTACGAAATTGTAATGAAGCGGAAAGCGACTTATGGCATGGAGCTACAGGTGTACGGACTGCGCTACCTGGCGAGGTGAGTCTCAGTGGTCGAGGCGTTGTTGCGGTGTTGGGAGGGTTGGACTCGGCTCTCTCTTTTATCTATAATTTTTTTTCTCTGGTGATCGGTTTCGGGTAGTGGGATATACACAGGGGTGGGACAGGATTCGGTAAGGTGTCACTAAAACCCGGCTTCTGGAGCGTGTTGCTGTGTTTCGGGTTGTTGTGTACTCAATATGGCGACCCATTTTGTTGTAATGTACACAGCTACAGCAGGGGCAAATGGGCCCCTGCTGGGCACAGACGAAGAAGATATCGTCTTAATGCAGTTCTTGGTGTGGGACGCCGTCAGTAGAAAGGTAGTGGATCTTTGAAAAACTTTAGTGTGCATGACAAGCCAGTAGATGTTGCCTCGTAGTGTAGCTCCGCATTCCCATGTTGGCCGCTAAATGTCACAGGTGTCGCTATGGCGCAGCTGTGGATCTAACTGCTGTCCTCTCTCATATGTGTGCGTGTGTGTCTCCCTCAAGCACGTGCTGTACTGTGTGTTCCTGCTTGTGCTAACCTTCCTTATCTTATCTCTACTTAACGCTATCGTGCCACAACACTTCATATTCTCACCCCTAGACAAACGCCTGCCGACTTGTCTCTCGTAAATAACAAAAAGTCGTATTCACGGAATATTACTTTTATGGACTGTGAACACGCGTGTTTAAAAGTGAGTCGTACTGGTGGTCGTGTTTCCATAAAGGTAGTACTCCAAGTTATCAGTATTCTAGTTGCATGTTTATCCTAACCCTGTCTTGTGAATATATATTTACACTAATCTTTGTAGTAATCTTCCTATGAGTAGTTTCTTCTATATCCGCCTCAGTGTCCACATATATGCATGACAATAAAGTTAGTCCAAATCATCATGAAACTGTTCCCTTCCCTGCTGGAGACGCTCAGTGGAAACACCGAGTAGTTTTCATCTCGTCTTGGATTACTGTGGAAGAATTCACGTGTGGTGACGCGCAGTGATCACTGGAATTACGTCAAGAGCAGAAAAAAATCATTGTTCAAGGATGTGTAGTGTGTGTAACGTAGAAATTATAAGTCGGGTGGATTATCAGGGCCGCCAACATGGCGGCCAGTGGCGACATCAACAGGTGGGCGCCTGGCAGCGGGAACCAGCTCCCTCATTGCTGACACAAGTGCGCCGCCCACACGTCCCACACGTCGTACCTCTAGAAACACCAATGAAATGGCGTTGTTAAGTAAATTGGATCTTATCCCTCAAATAGAATAAAGGAAATACATATTAATAGAGAGCTCTGGAGGTGTGGTAGTGTGTGTGAGTGTGGGGGAGGAGTTGTGGGTGGCTTGTGTATATTGACCCCTGTGTGGAAGACCACCCCCTCCCCCCAGCATCACCTGCCGCTCCGACTCGTAAATTCTACAACCATCCCTCCCTTACCTGTACAACCACTTACTAGTTACTTATTATATGGAGTAAATAGTAAACACCATCTTGAGAATGTTACCCTTAAAAAAATAGAAAATATAGTAATTCTAATAGCCCTCAACTTTGTGCCGGTAGAACGCGTCAGTTAACCCAGAGATGGTAAGAACGTGGTTTAAGTAATCAGTCTGCAGCATTGAATGTTTGGGCTGTCCACCTGAAACCCGGTGCTGTAAAGTCAACAGCTGGGCCTGAGACACATGTGGCAGAGCACCTGTATAACACAGCTGTCGGGTGATTGGCTTGTTTCTCGTGGTGCGTTGGCCCCTGAGGTCCCCTCCCCCCCCCCCCAGGTGGCTTTCTTGGAGTAATATTTCGTTTCTCATTGGTCAGCATATAATGACATGTAGTTTTCATTGGCCTTAGCAACTCTGATTATGAAGAGTAGATTTATTATGTTGTTATTGTTATAAATTTGTAATGTAGCGATACACCAGACACACACATTCGTCGTCCATAATGCGTACACTTTAATCACTGGTAAGAGTGAAAAATAAGCCATTCGGAGAGAGCGTATAGTTTATCCTGACGTGAATCGGTTTACAAATAAAATACGCCGGTTATTTCTTTTACCTCGGCCGGAATGAAGTAAACACAACGAACTAGTCCACCATAGCTTCGAAATTACACTTCTTGAAACATTATTTCGTATTATTTTAGTTTCGGTTAGGTTACATTAGATTACGTTAGGTTACATTAGCTTAAGTTATGTTAGTTTGGATATCTAAATACAGGGATGACCGAAACTAAAATTGTACCCAATGTTTTGTGTATTCACCTCTTTCAAGTCTGGGGTGGAGTAACCAGATAAAACACTTGCGTCTTGAATCATGGCTTCCACGCACAGGACAGTGAACGCTCCGGTATGGCAGTTTCATTTGTCCATCCCTGAGGCTCTGGACCTAACCTGGACATTTAAATTCCTGATGGTAGTTCATTTCTGCCCAGGGCACCACACGCACCCTATTTCTTTATATGAATAGTTGTGAGTCTTGGCTAGCTCCCGGCGTACCTACAGTGCGTGGGGCGTGAGAGCATTCATAGGTTTTATTAACTCGTTGGCAACTTGCTTTACCCGGGGTTGCCAGGCCGTGTATTGTTCGGCTGTTGGTGTTTTAGTTGTGGGAGGTTAATAAGTCCATCCTTTTATCAACTCCTTCCATCCCTCTATACACCTTCCATGTCTCTCTCCCTCCCTCCGTACACCTTCTCTCCTTCCCTCCCTACACACCCTCCTCCATCCTACCTGTGCTTTCGCTGTATCTAACCTCATCTTTCCAGCCTATCACCCCTTATGATTGGTCGACGTAAACCATAGTGTGTGATCTAACCAATTAGAAGCGACGTCTTTCTTTCGTACAGTAGCCTCATACGTAACAAACCCTTTCCGTTATTTTAATTGATTTTTGGGACTGAATAACGATTAAAGATGAAAGCGAATAATGATAGAGTGTTTATAATAATTGTAATTGATATTAGTGATGAATATATAATTATACTGGGTGTAAAATGATGACTTAATTATAGGCTTAACGTTTAGGCTGCCTTGAGTTTATACCCGGGAAACTTAACGCTCATGTAGGCAGCACCCCCACCCCCCCACCCCCCTCTCTCACCTTCCCTCCCTTGCTAATAATTATTTACTTCAGTTAAGTGTCCTGTTATAACCCCTTCCATGTACTGCGTGTTACTCTCTCTACCTCCTTCTCCCCAATCCCCTCCCTCCCCACCCCTCCCTCCCTTTCCCCCCATTTCCCTCCCCCCTACCCCCGCCTACCACCACCCAACACAGGTCTTCACGATACGCCCTTTGACCTTTCTTGATTGACGTGATTAATATTAACATTATTATTATTAGTTCTAGGATAATGGTTAGCCAGTGCAGTTGATAAGTTGTCCGGTCTTTGGGGGTTATATATGCCTTGATAATGGGTCATACAGCTCGTTTACTTAGGGTGTGGTGGTTGTGTTGGTGATAGCTTCTACACCTTAAACAAATTCACACAGGTGGCCTTGGCATGTCAGGTGTAATTAACGCTCGAGTCTTCACGGTGACCTGTTATGTCCAGTAACCTATTGAGGGAGAGAAGGAACGGTCGATTTCCATATAGTTCGAATGACTTTCTTTCAATACCTTGTTCATTCATTTCTTTCTTTCATTCATTCATTTACTCGTTCCATTTATTCACCCATTTACTCCTACGTTCATTCACTCATCCACTCTTTCACCCAGTCCCTCACCCATCCATCCCTACATTCATTCATTCATTCATTCTTATTCCTATTCAACCAGTCCCTCATTCACTTCTTCATTCATTCCTTCACTCATCCATTCTTTCACCCACTCCCTCGTTCACCCATTCACTCCCACGTTCATCCACTCATTCACCCACGCCCTCACCCACTTGTCATTCGTTTAGCGTCTCTCGTTCTCTCAACCCCGTCGAGGGAACTTTACATAATGAAGCTTTTTCTAAGAGACTTTAAGCTTAGTTAAGTTAGAAGCTTATTTCCGTAGTGGAGATAGCTGGAAATAGGGTCCATGTGATTTAGACACCCCCCCAGCTTATTTCACCTGGAGATTGGAAACCTTACCGCTACGTGGGAGGAGGGGGGGATTAGGCTAGCGTTGGGGTGTCTAATCTTCAGATGATCCTAATTTCGTCAATATATTCCGACATTTAGTTATTTGAGGACTGAGAGAGAGAGTGAGAGGGTGTGTGTTGCCGGGTGCTCAGGTGGGAGCCAAGGTGTAGAGCAACAGGTGTTAAAGCTTGTACACTCTTACCTGTCTGTCCTCTCCACAAGTGAGATAACGTGGTGAGAGGGTGCTGGGATAGGCTGCACCCGCCCTCTTAGCTTCTGTCTTCCTCTCTCCCTCTCATCCACATCACCTGTTACTCTCTTCATTGACTCACTTCACCGTCTTCCATCTCTCTCACTCGCTTCACCTGATACTATCCTCACGTCTAAGGAACTTCACCCCCCTCATTCACCTCACCTCGCCTCGCATCCCCTCACCTACAGTACATACTGTTAAACATGAATCATTAAGACCACCCGGGTAATGGTTCAGTCTAGGTGGTGTCATACGGCTGTTGTCATAAGGTGGTGTCATGCGGCTGTTGTCATAAGGTGGTGTCAGACGTAGCTACTTCATAGGTAATCAGGGGACTGTGGTTCGGGGGGGGGTCACCTGAAGATTAGCTCACCTGGTATTTAACAGTACCGGACGGGGTGGGGGAAGGTAGATTAGTTAGGTTAATGTTAAGGTGGAATAAGTTAGGGGGGCTAATCTTCAGGTGATGTCTTCAGGAGGTGTCATAAAGTAGTGGTTTTAATTTATTCATTATAGACAAATTGCTTGATTATCTTGAAGTTACTGAAGAAGATAACGAGTGTGGGAAGTTATCCTGTTTGTGGTGGTTTGGTTAGATTTAGAACATAAGAAAATAAGGAGTCTGCAATAGGCCGGTTGGCCTGCGCATGGCAGCTCCTGTCGAGAGTTACTACCACTCTCTATCATCCATGAATCTATCTAGCCTCCTTTTGAAACTTTCCAGAGTTCCCGCACTTACTACAAAGTTGCTAAGCTTGTTCCACTCGTCCACCACCCTATTTGTGAATGGTGTAATGGTTGGGGGGGGGGGGGGTCTACTGTGGTCAAGGTTCACTTAAATGTTCACTAAAAAATAATAAACGTGTAGGTTGAATTCGGGGTCATTCACCTGGCCTCTCTCGGGGTTAATGAAGGAGTACAGGTGTGTGTCTCTCTCTCTACTCCCCTTTTTTCACCACTCCAACTCCACTATCACCACCATCGTTACTCTCATCCACTACCACCCTCCTCCTCCT